GTGTGGACATCGAATTCAAAGTATATTGGCGACGAGAAGATTCGCTGGCGCCCTGCAGTGGCGAGCGGCGGAACTACCGTAAGTCAGACACTTCGGAGGTGCTTATACACTGCATTGGATTTGTTTGCTATTATGCTTTCAATTTTGGATATAAATTAAGCTTGTGCGGGCTATGTGAGACCTCTGAGGGAAGGAGAGCAGTATGTACGATAGGGGTTATTGCTCTGCGTTGGCTTAAAAGAGAAAATCGAGAATGTAGCAGATTGCCGTGCTCTGGCTGCTCGCACTTCAGGCATTCATGCTGTGCCGTATGAAGTACAAATTCAAATCGACATTAACAAGGAGGCAGGTGACAGATTAATAAATGCCAAATGCGAATGTCCTGCTGGTGAATCAGGAAAATGTAAACATGCGATGGCAACTCTCATTTACTTGAGCCGGTATAAAGTCTCTAACCTAAAATTTGTGTCATACATTTCTTTGGTCTTTTCTATTACTTTCGTTCTTAAATCTGTTCCTCCGTTTTAGGATTGAAGAAGATGACATGGACAATATTAGTTGCACGGACTTGCAACAACAATGGGGTATTTTAAAGTCTAACCATAGCAAAGAGTATGAAGCAAAGAAGTTGAGCGAGTTTTGCCATGTACAGAAGACATCTAAAAAGATTGAAGTAACGGATGAAATGAAAACTAAATGGAGGGAGAAACTTATTAATTGCAAGTTACATTAATATAATTTTTATTGGACTCAAATACCTAGAATGCTATTTTGTAGCAGTATAGTTTGTAGATATTGTCTCTTTAAAGACAGTGACATTTGTGTTTTTCCCTCATGCAGTTAAATGTCCAGAAAAATGAGTTAAATGGCTCTTCGAGTGGTGTAATTTTTAAAATGTATCCCTATCATATTGTTATATTTTACATAAGTAATATCTTAATTTATTATAATAAATAACGCAGGAGTGATCATGCATCTAGATTGAACATAAATGAACAGGAAATCAATCAATCGTTGAATCAATGAATTAATTAATGAAAAGTAATTAAAAGTGTAATTAATTAATGAAAAGAACAATAAAATTAATCAATGATGAATTATTTAGTTTTTAATTAAAGTACCCCTTGATTTTACAGCTTCTACTTTAAGTGAAATTTCACTCTTTTATAGTGGAGTACGCCAGTGCTATGGATGTCTTGTCAGCGACGCTAATGCATACGAGTATAGCAAGTAAGATGAGGAAACAAATCTTATTAAGAAATTACTGTGTTATCGAAGCTGGACAGTGTTAGGGCAACTGAAAGCTTTGATAGACCAGTATTTGTGTCTTTGTAAATCTGATGTTCAAAAATTTTATCATGAACATGTTGAGATCTCACTAGAAAGGGCAGTTGAAATTGCTCTTGCTGCTCAATGTAAAGATAAGTGGATCTCTGGAAGGAAGATTCGGATTACTAGTTCTATTTCCTATTCCCTGTTTACTTATGCTAGCAACAAAAGTCCCGATTGGGATAAAAAATATAATCAAGTTTTCAACAGTAAATTTAAGGGAAATGCTAATACAAGTCATGGGTTGAAATATGAAGGACCTGCTAGGGACAAGTATAGTAATTCTCTAATAGATCAAAAAGTTATTGAAATAGGATTAATGGTACGACCAGAAGTACCATGGCTAGGTTTCAGCCCAGATGGTATAGTGGTTTGTAGTAATAATGGTAACTCTGAGAGGACTATCGAGATAAAGTGCCCAATTGAAGGTAAACGACTTTCTGCATCAGAATTCATATCTATGGGTGCAAGAAAACGTTTTGATCATAATGGAAACCTTAAGTACAAGCATGACCATTATGGACAAATTCAATTAGGGCTTCTTTTGACAGGGCTGGATAAATGTCATTATATTAATTACTCATCAAGTACTGATGATTACATCTGTGAAACAGTTTATTTTGATGAACTCTTTTCTTTAAAAATGAGTAAAACTTTGTTAGATGTGTACTTTAAAGAAATTTTGCCCAGAATTTATGCTAAAGAAAACAATAATAAGTGATTGTACTATATGTGCTTTATTTTGGAACTTTAATTCAATGGTAATACAAGTTATGTGCATTATAAGTTATATGTACTCTAAGGGTTTTGATGACAAAAATTTATTTTAGTTGAAGTTTGTTTTTTTAAATTTTACATATATTATATTATATTATATTAGCATTGTGGACTATAAATAAAAATAATCATTTTTACATAAACTTATCAATTTTCATTATTGGATTGCTTAAATTAACAATGCCTGAAACAATAATAAGAACATCATCTAAATAATGAACCAGGCCCCATGGCACCTGTGACTTTAGGAAGGCATATTCTCTGACGAGTTGAATAACCCGTTCAACATGGACCCTTGCTCTTGCAATTTCAGCTGTCTTCAAAGCGTCCGCCTTAGACAGTTGTTTCTGCTTAGAAAAGGTGGCCTCACTAGTACTAAATTTCGCTGAAATAAAGATGACAAGATATTATTTAAGTCTTACTCCATTCTATAACAGTATAAAAAGAATTTAGTAATAATGCTTACCTCCATGCACTCGTTATCAATAAGAAACCCCTTATCTACCATAACAGCATCATTGTAGTCGAGCCTATTCAGAATTCCACAATAAAATTGTTAGTAATAAATTTATCAGATGCACGGCCCCCATAGGCGAGGGAGACTGTGGTAATTAGTCCAGAGGGAGCTACACAGAATTCAACTTTAGCTGTGTAACCTTTTTTGTAATGAGAGTAACTTAGTATTCTGCACTTAATACATTTTGACTTCTCAATTGGAATCTCAGCACAATCCAGAATAACTCGAGTTGACCTATAATTTTTGAATGCTATTGGTATGTTCTTCCGGATCTCTTCTTGAGTTGGCCAAGGAATAACACTCTCCAATACAGTTGATAGAAGAGGTATGATTTCATTAAAATAATTACTACAAGTGTGCCTGGAAATTCCAAATAACACTGCCAGTGCTGTGAAGCTCATGTTGACTTTCAACTTAACGAAAGTAAGAGTAATTCTCTCTTTCAGGGAAAGTTCTTTCTTGTTGGTAGTCGACACTGTTTCAATTTCAGATACACATTCTGTTATGGTATCTAAAAGTTCAAATGACGACAAACCAGTGTAGGTGTACAATTTTGACATGTCTGTTAGGACTTCAAGCAAAATAAAGTTTTTGTCTCTTGTCTTGAGGTTATGAAGTGCTTCAGGAGGTTCTTGTAGATCGGTTTGCACTCCCACATCTCTGTTCGTTGGTTCTAACATATTCTGCTCATCCTCTCTGGGCTCTTCGTTGTTACGTCCTGTGGACCCCACGATTTCTCTCTTTCAAAAAACCATAAGAAACATGTTGTTTCTTCCCTTGGAAACTACTATTTTAGGAATCAGCGGATATGGACTAGCCAACGCATGAGTCCCCTCCCCATAAAAATTTATTGCCAGAGTTTCACTTTTCGAAACTCGAAACGTAAAGTGCCCTAATTGTTGCTGGTCGATAGCCGTTGAAATAATAAAAAGAGGAGAAACAACAGACAGGTGGGATCAGGCCCTTTCAGACGGCAATTTCAAAATTCAGATTTCCAAAATATTACGATCCGAGACACTAAAAGGGGATTCAAAAAAGATATGTTGACCAAAAACTTGACCCAAAAGTGAAACTCGGAATTTTTCGAAAGCCGCTGAAGGAAATGATACCCATAAATAAATATCAAAGGGCGACAACGACTTAATGGTCGGGTTGCCAATAAGGAAGACAACTCCCCGACACCTCCCACTAACCCACCAATGAAGAACCAAAATCCAAAATCTCCTTCCACGTCCCATGACCAAGACCCACCCTCGAAAAATCCTATATAAACCCGAAGCCTGCTGCCTCAGCCTCTTTGGCAGCTCCCGAGTCCATCAGCGCATCTCTCTCCGCGATTCCCCAAGTTCCGAATTAACACTCTTTTATATCGTTTATATTCTTTTATATCAAGTTCATCCAATCCAAATAAAATCTGTGCGCGATTTCGGCCGACGGACCACCTATCTGAGCCAGCCGCCTTCGAAGATTTACCAGCTACCGCAAACCACCATCGATCGCAATCAGTAGTAAGTCGCACGTTGTCTTTTCTTTTCATTTTGTTTCGGCTCGACGACCTCCTTTCCCCCAATTAATTTTCATTTTTTATTCTGAGGGACCTTCGCTAGTTTTAACTTCTTCGTCCATGCTCTTGCGAACTAACGCCAAATATCCATTCTTCAAAAATTCGTTTTGTGTCCGAGGATTCCGCTTCAGCGTGAATCCGACACGATTCGAAGGA